CTGGTGATCTGCTTCATGGCTAAGATGTTGCACAAGTTAATTGAAGAAAACCCCTTTCTGTTGAAGGGCTATAAAGTGGTATGAGATATGTAGGCCCTTTGGGTTTATTACCCAAGTTTTTAACCATTGTGTAACCTTGGGATTTATCTTATCCTTGATGTATATGGGAAAATTGTGGAGCTAACATTTCTACTATATTTGTCCTCAAGGAAAGGCTGTAATGCATATCATTGCATAGGACTGTGTGCTGGGCTACAAGGTAAGACGTGGACTTGGGAAAACTATAATAAAACCCAAGTGTAATTCCTGCCAAGAAGTTTGGAGGGAAAGAAGGACCTTCATAAAACCAGGTGAAATTGATGTGTGAGGTTGCAGTTTTAGACAATTTTGAAGAAAACATTGATGGTTGGATATAGCTTAATATACTGTACTATGCTGTAATTGAGTTTGAGTGTTCTGTGTGAATATATATTAATGTGTGTATGAAGTCAAAATACTTGAGCATTTCTAAGTTGGAAGAGGCAATAAAGTTAAGCACAATTTTAACTGCAGATCTGCAGCAGCTCTAATGAACTACCAATTGTGTAGCTGGTTATAAGTAGTGGTTTGTTTCTATTCTGAAATTGAGTCTCAAAGCAGCTTCTAACCGTGAGCACTGAGGTTCCTTAGTTCAGACTGGGTATGGTGCTACAGGAAGCTGTCTTAATTTGCAAAGAAGTAAATTCAGCAGGAGGAGAATAGTGCTCGTGCATTCGCAATACAGGCTTAGTATTGGCAGTAGGGAAAGATGAGGACTGTCTAGTTGTTACCCATTTTATTCTCACCCTTGTAAAAAGCATCGTCTGTTGCCATGCTGCTGGGGTGATGGGCTGCTTGGTTTAATGATACTTTAGATTTTGCAGGTGGGAAATTAGTTTGGAATCGATGGCAGAACATGTTGCATAAGAAGTGCAGCTCATTAAAATAAATACACTACTCTTAATTTTATATTGATCTATTCTGCTGTGAGTCTTGCGCAGACCCTATTAGCCAGAAGGAGATTCCTTTCTAGTGAATCAGATTTATCTGCCAAACTTGTTGGTTTGATATAGTATGCTAAGAAAACCTCAGAAGAGGAACCAAAAAAGTAGTTGAGTTGCTTAGTGTTGTGATGGTAGATGAAAGGTAGTCTCTTCCTCCCATCTTTGCAACTGAAAAAGTAACTTGTAAGTTCTGCTGTTAGCCCAGGTTATTTATGTGTAGCTGGCTTGATGAGGTATTAAGAGGGGGTCAAACAATGGATCTGTTCACACAACTAGTTTCCTTCCATTTGCTGCAGTCATTAACAAGAACCTTAAACATATAAATAATGCATGCCCCAAAGTCCAATTTTGATACAGCGTTTACTTCGTTTTATGCTTACCCATTAAAAGCCCCCTCATGCTACCCCTTGCAATGCATTACACTCACTGTTTAGAGTGTTTGTAACTATTACTTTATTTTAAATGTAATAACATGTTTTCCAGCTGATCTTCTCTTGTAGCTCAGCTGAAAAGTTATTTAATAAAAGCAGGTAATGTGTAATAGGTCCTCTGCTTCTTAAGGAAAGTTAAGAAAGCTTTTTCCCCCCCATGAAAGCTGTTGCCAGCTGGGTCTAGACGTGCAATAATACATGTAATTTGTGTGACACTATGAATGAAAATGTGACTCAAGCATTTCATTTCTGTGCTCAAGTCTTTGTGACATGCTGTTGTACTGCAATCACAGCTCATAAGATGCACTTTTAAAGCCTCAGAAGAAATTGATTGTAAATATAGATGATGTGGTGATGCTGTTCCTAGCAGATGCATGGTTACTGAGAAGCCTTTCAAAAATCAGATGCTGAAATGATATTAAGTACAAGTAAGTGTTCTAAATGGATTGTGCTGCTCGTTCAGATATTTTATCATGAAAATGTTTGGTTTCTACATAAATACCTGAATGTGCTGCTCTGTGGCCTTAAATAGCTCCAAAGAAGGAAACACTTGAAGTGTACAAGTAATTCGTGAAGCTTTTTAATTCTACCTTGCTTTTTTAAGAAAAAGCAAAAGCTGTAAACCTTCAGTATTTTTGCCTTCCAAAATGAACTTCTGAAAAGCTTTTAATGAGATTTAATTCAGTGTTGTTTGTACTTCTCAAAATCTATTAGTGGTTTGTTTCAGGGTTTCTGTTTTGCCCTTGCTTTTCTTGAACAGGTAAAATACATTTCAGCAGAAGAGTGTTGAGCACCATGGGTGGCCAGAATGGATTTCCAGTAAATGCCCATTAACATTTTAATCTTCAGCAGTCTCATTTTTCAGTGGTTATAGTGCAAGCATGTATGTGGAAACTAGGTTTGGTTTTGTTTGTAGGTATTCAGATGAATGTAAAGGGTTTTGAGTTATGTTATTTAAGCAAATTGTTTCTGAAATCATCATTTTTAGGACAGTTATTTGTCAAAATTCTCTTGACACTTCCCCTACAAACCCTAGTTCCTTCAAAGCACCAGTTTAGAACTGTTCCAACTTTCTTTGCCTTTAGTTAGTGTTGTTTATTCCGTGAGCATACTTGTGGATAAATGATGTTGAAATGATATACAAGCAGGAAAATTTCATTCCTACTTGCTGCTTGTTACTGTTGTGCTAAATAAAAATAAACAATTAGATATGATCATAGAATAGAATCATAGATCTGCAAACTTGATTGCTTAATATAGATGGGGCAGCTGTAACGGAAAATAGATCAGGGTGGCGACAGTCAAGAGGCATTTCTTAGAATCTCATCCGAGCTCAGCAACTATAGAAATTTCTGGTGTCTCTTCTGCCTTGGTGATGCTGAAAGTTCTTTGAAAGCATAGCTGAGAACCAAAAATAGAACTTTTGAATTGTCTTCTTTCTGGTCTGAGATTCTAGGTGGGATCATTTCCTTTCTTAGGGGTGTGAGCAATAGCTGATATCTTACAGCTATTGAATGCGCGCAAGGCTTGGAAGCAACTTAATGTGACTATAAACAGCTTTTACTTTTTAGAACAGTAAACTTTTATCCTCAGTAAAAGAATAAATTTAGTCTGCGTTCTTGGCCAAGTTTATCTCCCTTTATGTATTTCCTGTTGCTTTGAAGGGTGCAAAGGTTCTCATGTGTAATAGTTCTGGGGAACTAGATGATACTTAAAGTGCAGACATGTCCTTATTTCTTGTGATACGTAATTGGTTGTGGGTTCTTTTCTTCTTTTCTTTTTCTTCAATGGCCTCTTCTGAGGCTTTACTGAAGCAGTGGGAGACTTCTATTCCCCTAATTTCTTTTTGTTCATTTGGCTTTTTATGAGAATTTAGGAAGAAAGATCTTCAAACAGTTTTTGTTTGGTTTGGTTTTCCCAGTTTTTGTGGATATTATAGAAACAAAGCTGAATAATCAAAGAATTACCAATGGGATTAAGCTACTGTGTGAAAGAAATTGATTTTTTCCTGTAAAGGATGTTCATAAGTTTTAAACTTACACTCTTTATTGTAGCCAAGTGTCTTTGGGTTTGTTCCCTGCTTTCCTCACCTTCCACCTCCCTAGTAGAAAATTTAGGATGATTACATGTGCAATGTTTGCTGTATCTTTAGCTGCTGATGCTAATGCGTGGTTATGTTAGAGGAAAGTACCTGTCCGTGTGTCTGACCAAGCTCGTAAATGTGCCTAGACACTAAGAGAAACCTTATCAGATGACTTTTAGTTAATCAGAGATGGGAGGCAAAAAGATCCTGATGATCAAAGGTAGGAATCTTAAGAGAACCAGCGTAGAGGAACTTAAATCTTCTGCTCTCCAGCACACACCTTTCTCTTTATGTGCAGATTTGGCGTCTTGGGCTATGTTAGGTGCTCCGATTCACCATGGTTTATCAAAAGTTGAGAGACAGTGTTGTTTGGCAGTCTCTGTAGCAAGAAAGGAAGCATCTTTTGTTATTGACATCCTTTCTCTTAGCTCTGCTCTTGCTTTTTGCCAGCTGCTCATTGTCTATACTTGCTTATTTAGTATTCACAAGGGATTTTACAAGTTCTTATCAGTGCGTTGCCACAGCACATCATTTCCTCTTGTCATCGGTACTCCTTAAATTGGTGGGGGGAGGATTTGCATTAGAGCTGGTGAGTGGTAGAAAACATCACCGTTCATGAGCGCTGCTTGGGTTGCACAGTGTTGTTCTGCTCCTCTCCGAGGCAGTTTGTAGTAAAGGTCACAGTATTTACTCCACCATGCCTCCCCCTTCTTTTTCTGGGGAAAAGAAAACACTTTTTTTGTGCCAAAGGCTAAATATATCCAGCGCTTCAAATATTCTTCTGAAAAGATACGAGGAAGTGCAGCATAAAAATAGCCATAGCTGAAAAGGTTGATCACCTTTGAGTGGCTGGGGCAGGGTTGCTTTGGGGGTATTATTGTGTTTTTCTTTCAATTGTTTTTGGTTTCTGTGTAGTTATCTGCAGCATCTTCCTTATTTTTTTTTTTCTTAATACTCTTCCAGAAACGTAGGGTGCTGAATTAGAGCTCAAGAGCAAGCAGATGCTTTTGTGTTTTCTCCTTTTGGGAAATAAAGATCCACTTGAGAAGCTGAGTGCTTCAGTGCAGTACTGTCTGTGAAACTATTGGTTCCACTGTGCCTCTTCCCTGTTTCTTCTTCATGAGTTTAAGTCTTCTGGTGAAGCTCCATGACAGGGATACAATACCATTTTTAAAGCATATTCCCCAAGCCTGCTTTCTAAAGGAAAATAATGGATTTAAAGAATACTGTTAACAGAAACCATTCTGTCCTTTTGGTCCCTTGACTGTCCTTTCCCTCACTGATCAGTGATGCAGGAACTGGGGACTCTGATCACATTTAGCTTTGGTATGAGGTTCTTGTACTTATTATTCTGAAACAAAATCAGGTGCCATGGCTGGATTGAAATGGGTTCTTTTTCATATTGGCCTTTTTTTACCACATTCTTTACTTGTTTAATTACTTGTTAACTTATCTCTTTAATAGGAGGAATCGATCATTATTTTTGATGCGAAGACTTCATCACTGACACCTATATGTTCATTTGTCGGCCTCCAAGAACTAGTGCAGCTCATCAGTGGCAATAACTGACATTTCTTTGGAAACAAAAAAACCCAAATAAACAGAAAAGCCCAACAGACCAAACCCAACAGACCTTTTGAAGACTTTTGTCAAATGACGTCAATGGCCAGTTTGTTCTCCTTTACTAGCCCAGCTGTAAAGCGTCTGTTGGGCTGGAAACAAGGAGATGAAGAGGAAAAATGGGCAGAAAAAGCTGTTGATGCTTTGGTTAAAAAACTGAAGAAGAAAAAAGGTGCTATGGAAGAACTGGAGAAAGCCTTGAGCAGTCCAGGACAGCCCAGCAAGTGCGTTACTATCCCCCGCTCTTTAGATGGACGACTTCAAGTTTCTCACAGAAAGGGCCTTCCCCATGTCATTTACTGTCGTGTTTGGCGTTGGCCTGATCTACAAAGTCATCACGAGCTGAAGCCATTGGATATTTGTGAATTTCCTTTTGGATCTAAACAGAAGGAAGTCTGCATCAATCCATACCACTATAAGAGGGTGGAGAGCCCAGGTATGTTTGAACATAGCTGTCTTGAAAACTGGACAATATCTTCAGGAACCACTTACTGTTCACTCCTTCTTGTCCAGTGCCATATAACAAGCTACATTTGGTGTATGAGGGAGTGTGGAAGAGGAATAATGTTCAAAGTATACTTTTCTGGTGGGGTTTGGGAGAGGTGTGTTGTCCATTCTGTACTAGTTGGTTTTAATTTGTGGCAAATCACACTTTTCCAACAGATTTATTAAGCCCATTAACCTTTAACTTAGTGGCAAAGCCCTCAATTGTAATAAAATAAAAAGCATGATCAAAATACTTTGGTTTCTGTGACAAACTTGTTTAAAGCCCTCAGTCTGCGAGGAGGTCTGTAACCTTCTTTCAGGAGCTTAGTATTTAATGGCTGAGTGACATGAATTGAGGAGGTAAAATATTAATTTTAAGATACAGAGTTGATAAAGTCAAGTGGGACTTGAGTTCCCAGCAGCAGGCAGCAGAGCTGAACAGAACCAAGAGTGAAGATCAGTTAGAGCAAGGTACCAGATTTGTGTGAGGTAGCAAGTCTGCTGTTAAGGCACATTGCCAGGGGAGAAGGTGAGGAGGATTGTGGTTAGGAGTGGGAGAGGTGAAGTATGTTGCTCTGGAAAGTACAATGAAAAGTTGCTTCCATTGTTCCACAAAATGGTTGTAACTCTACTTGCAACCTGCTGTAGTGCTCAGGTGCTCCGCTGTAGCACTTGAATTCCAGACTCCAGCAGTCTTGAATTTAGAAGTTAAAACTCCAGCTTAGCGAGAGTTACATTGTCGTATAGAATTTTTTTTGTCTTCAGCAAGAAAGGACTATGCGTAACTATGTAGTTAGGCTATAGCAATGTAGCCTGTATTTCTATTTCAACTCAGCTGGTAATTTACACATACAGGGAGGGCAGGAAGAAAACGAACTCTACCCCAGCCAAAAGCAGGATAGCTTAGCACCTCGAAATCAGTACTTTGGTATGTGCCACATCTAGACTGGTTTTTTTCTTGGGAAAAAAAAAAAGGTCCACTTGCATGAAGTAAGTGTAGTTTCACTAATTTTGCAAGAGTGAAGTTTGAGTCTTCCATAGAGCACAATGTAAAAAGGTAAAGGAGAGAGGATGGGGTAAAGGCATCACTGATGAATCCCCTACTCCTCTTTACACCCCTTTTTCCATGATGAGCAGAAGAGCATTTTACTTGTACCTCTCCTATCACTGGTTTTAATCTAAGTGTCTATTTTTTGTGTTTTGTTTTCAGTTCTACCTCCAGTGTTAGTGCCTAGACATAGTGAATTCAATCCACAGCACAGTCTACTAGTCCAGTTCAGGAACCTAAGCCACAACGAACCACACATGCCTCACAATGCGACATTTCCAGACTCTTTCCAGCAACCCAACAGCACTCCGTTTTCCATTTCACCAAACAGTCCCTATCCACCTTCTCCAGCCAGCAGCACTTACCCGAGCTCCCCAGCTAGCTCTGGACCATCCAGTCCATTTCAGCTACCAGGTAAGTACAACCTAAATGTCAACTTAATAAAATAATTGAAATGTCACATGTTGCTGTGACTTACTACCTCAGGAATTTGTGATACTTGCAGTAAATTGCTTTTCCATTTGCTTTTTGAGAGGGGTTTCTCACTAGTTTTGTTACTTATCAGAATTGGTTCTTGTATTACTGTCATGGATGGTCAGTTATTTTGCACAGTTTCCATGTAGAATAACTGATATATACTTCAGAAGAATATTTAGTAATGAAAAGGAAGCAGATGTAAGAGGCTGAGCAAAAAGTTTATTGATGTCTATCTTAGAACAAAGTAGCAGATTTTTGATAGGAACTTAACCTATTTGTGTAAAAATAAGGAAAACCCAACAAATGATAAGGCAAAGAAGCCATATTGGGTCTTGTTATTGGTGTGGGTTATAAAGCCAGGAAGTTGATAAATGAAAGGATTTCTTTTCCAGTAGCTCAGTGGCCTCATCTTTGTTCTTTCTGATTGCCCAGTGCCACAAAATGAGTGCCCGTTCAGTGGGGTATCCCTCTTGGATAAGTGCTAGGATCACTGGGATGGATGTATTAATGGCATCCAGAGAGAATTTATGAAACAGAGGATAATAATATGTTGGTACACTGGCTGCTTTACTGAATGGAAGAATGCAGAGAGCCGCACTTTTGTAATGAACTCAGCCTACAGAAGCAGCAAAACCATAACTGGTTTAGGCCTTTGTTATGCTGCAGCAAAAGTTACTTCTTCTAGTACTTTCTTTTTGAAGAGGGAGGAGAGGGTGGTCAGGAAAGCTAATGTTTGTGTGACAGGAGGTAGGAACTGTAGTCATCTTGCTCAGCGCAGGAATACAGTTCTTAAAAATGCAGGAAGAAAGAAACATCTCTTTTTTTTAGGTAAGAATCCAACTGTTGAAGGAGTTTACAGTAAAGGCAGCTGGCTGGGTTGTCTTCAGGTTACTTTGAAAATGGGTCCAAATGTTTTAAGGTCTCTTTTTCAAGAGTATTTTTGTGTATTTACAGCTGTAGGATGAATAAATAAATACTCTAAGTTGTTGAGGTTTATTTGGGTTTATATTTTTCATGTTTTTAGCTGATACTCCACCTCCTGCATATATGCCCCCTGATGATCAAATGGGGCAGGATAATTCGCAGTCTATGGACACAAGCAATTCAATGATCCCTCAAATCATGCCAAATATATCTACCAGAGGTAAGTTTGTAGAGTGGTGTAAAATTAACATGGTTTGGCTTATGACCAAATCGAGTGAGTAACTTCAGATGACACCATGAACCTTGTTGATAAGTGGAAGCAGTCCTCCAAGGCAAGCCGGGGATGTAAGAGAAAGAGTTGAGAAATAAGGCTTGCCTTGCTTATTTGCATCTCCTAATTTTAAAGCCTCAGGTGCATTGTATGGCTTACAACAAATTGAACTTTATTAATTTCTCAGAATCATTTTTTTCTGCTACTTTTGCCTGCTGCTGGAATTGTACATGCACAAAAGCTCTGAAAATAGTCCCAAAATTATAACAGTTCTTCTAAAAGTGGACAGAAGAATCATGTTTCATCTGATACCACATTAATCTGTATTTTCTTTGCATATGCTTTTGTTTAATAACAAGTTTAAAATAAGAAAATATTATAAAGTCAGTGGACTAGTTAAAATGCCTAAAAGTAAAATCATTAAGATCCAAATCAGGACAGTTCTTGCGCATCATAACTGTTGACTGAGCATTTACTTACCTGTTGGTATGCTGGAATGTCTGCTTTAGAGTTTGAGATTTAATACTTTAATCCATTTTGCTTATTTTCAGATGTTCAGCCTGTTGCCTATGAAGAACCCAAACACTGGTGTTCCATCGTGTATTACGAGCTAAATAATCGTGTTGGGGAGGCTTTCCATGCATCTTCTACAAGTGTCTTAGTAGATGGGTTTACAGATCCCTCCAATAACAAAAACAGGTTCTGCTTAGGTTTGCTCTCAAACGTTAATCGCAACTCGACAATTGAGAACACTCGACGACACATTGGAAAAGGTAAAGCTTGGTTGTGTTATGCATGATTATGAAGTGAAGTCTGTTTTTATTTGAACTTCTGTATACTGCAACAATGATTATTCTCAGTTAAGAATAGTAGAAGTCATCTGTGATATGTTATCCACCTCTCTGGTATCAGAACACAGTTTACTTAAGCATGGTTTGGCTCTAATTAGAAATTGGAACACATTTTTCTTTGGCACTAATTTAAAAGATAACTACTACCTCTCCCTTACCACACTATATTGTCATAGGGGCTTGCTTGTTATGGCTGATATAGTAGTCTGTAAGTAGAGTTTCATGTTTCAGCACCAAGAAATTTTGCAGGACTTCTATATTTTCTTCCTAAATCAGATTCTTCATACTACTTCACAGTGTATCAAAGATAGATTTCCTTCTTTTGTTGTACATGCAAGATACTACGCTGCTGTCTACAGTATGTTCACGTATCTTGCATGAGTTGTCAGCAGGACTTTGAAGTGCTAATGCAAAACTGCAAGGGCTCATTTGTCTGAGTGGATCCATGGGGTGTGTTTGTGTGTGGGAGGGATTCCTGGAGACAGCAGGTTTTGCAAGATCTTCTAGTTTTCCCATGCTGTTTGGCTGATAGCACATACAGATGCACGGTTTTCATCTTCGATGGAATGTGCTTGGATTATCTTAAAAGATAGTACTACTTTTCTGAGTATCTCCCTTTTTTTGTAACTAAGTCCTGAGAAGAGAACCCTGTTTCTATTACACACAGAGGCCTTTTTAATGCCAGAGATCATTCAGTGCAGTTGATGTTGAGTTTTGTTTGCTACAAGTCACTGTTGCTTATAGCGTATCTTCTGTCTTCAAGACCCATCCAGTTCCTTAATGGTCTCTTAGTTAGAAACAACTATAAATATGGCAAAATGTTGCTTGGCTCTGCAATGCTGTTGTCCAAGAAAATTTAATAATATGAAGGGGAACATCTGATTTCTTGATTATGGGTGGTTTGTAAGGTTCTTGTGTTTTGGCTAATGCCTCTTGATGGTGCTGACAGGGAAATCTAGTGCATCTCCCTAAGGTCAGAAATGTAACAAAGGTCCAGGATCATGTTATAGAGTGGTATTGGCTGCAAGGAGCTTTAATATGTCTATGTCTCTAATACTAATTATTAAAATAAATTTGCTTTATGGTAAAAGTTCTGAGATTTAGTTTAGATCCCAGGCAGAAGTTCTTCCCTGTGAGGGTGCTGAGGCGCTGGCACAGGGTGCCCAGAGAAGCTGTGGTTGCCCATGCCTGATATTGTTCAAGGACAGGTTGGACGGGGCTTGGAACAACATCGTCTAGTGGAAGACCTTTCCTCGTTTGGAAGCCTTCCAAGGTCCCTTCCAACCCAAACCATTCTATGTTTCTATGTTTGTTTTTTTTTTTTTTTTATTAAAGTACTGTTTGTTTGTGGCTATGGGAAGGTGTTGGTTTTTTGTCTCCTTACAACTACTTAATCCTACTTGATAAGTTTTCTTTCCCTGCAGAAGTATTCCATTGCAAGTGTGATATTAAGCATAATCCAGTGTACAATTAGAAGTACCTATGTTCTTCTCAGACTGTTACATTACCTGTTCCCCTCTTTAGAAATCTCTTGGGAGGTCTTTAATCAAAAGATTGTTAGTTAGCAAGTGGTAGTCCCTGTCTTTTTAAACATATAGGGTTGTGTGCTGAAAATGCTTTCTTGCCCACTCCAGATTTTCTGACAGCTGCTTTGGGTGGTTGAAGCCAGTGGTTCCTCTGCATAACCATCCTGCCTTAGTCCCAGGCAGATCTAGCAATGTTCACAACAGTTGCTGCTGTCTGAAAGATTAACTTGCATCTGCTGACTTGCTGCAGCCTCATCTGGCAAACTGCAGGGTAGTCTGCAGTGATATATAGGCTTTAGCACATAATGAAAGGGAAACGTTTATGTTACATATCTGAATCCAGGCAGATGTGAAGATCTAAGGACTTTGATTATCAGATCTGTAAAGTCTGACTGTGTTTAAGTTGTGCAGCTAATTGGATTACCTCTTTTACTTCACAAAAATACACTGAATGTCAGAGCATGGATATACTTTCTCACTCATGTTTCTCATTGCCCCTTCTCTAGGACACTTTTATTTCTGTTGGAATTGCCATAGGCAGAAACCATCAGTTTTGTAAGACTGGAGTTTTAAACCCCACTGAAGTTCTCTAGGAAAATAGCTTGAAATAACTGTCGTGTGGCAGTAGTTTTTCCATTCTGTTCTGTAATTGATGAGAGAAGGACATCTAGTGGCTAGTGTACAATGAAACCTACTGTGTTTGAATTGAGGAAGTATGTTGTAGTGTGGACAAAAGAGCTTACTGAAAAGCTCCTCAAACAGAAAATGTATTTTGTTGTCTCTGATTTTGAAGGAGTTGTATTAAGTACTATATTTTTGGAAGAAAAAGTAATTTGAAACATTTTTATCTTTGTTTTCCAGGAGTTCATCTCTACTATGTTGGTGGGGAAGTCTATGCTGAGTGCTTAAGTGATAGCAGCATATTTGTACAGAGCAGGAACTGCAACTACCACCATGGCTTTCATCCAACGACTGTATGCAAGATTCCCAGTGGATGCAGTCTGAAAATCTTCAACAATCAAGAGTTTGCTCAGCTTTTAGCTCAGTCTGTCAACCATGGATTTGAAGCAGTGTATGAGCTCACCAAAATGTGCACCATTCGCATGAGCTTTGTAAAGGTAAATAGGGCATTGATACCTCTTGTGGATTTGGGTATTCAGCAGCAATTTCATTAGCATTGTAACAAAGTAGCAGAGCTATTCTGGCCTGATGTGGTTCTTTTCAGTGATAACTATGTTGAAAGTAGTTAACTTGGGGGGAGGAAAATCGTTGCAAGAAAGGGAAAGCGCACAATGCTGCATTGGATGTTGGCTATCTAGTTAATTCAGTATTCAGGACAGGCATTTCATCGTGGTTGCTATAATTTTATTAAAGGAGATTTGAGCTCATGCTCTAAATTTGAAAGAACAAAGTGAATTACAAGACCACTAAAAGAATGTCAGTAGAGAGGAGTGTAAGAGGTTGCAGAAAGAGATGCAGCTCCTTCAAAGAGATGGTATTAAGTTTTAAATAATTGGTGTGGGGTAAAAAGACATGATTTGAATTCATGAAGTCAAACTCTGCTGTTACTCTCAGTGGTGTTTTCTCAACATGTTTAGCCACGATGCTGTCCAGTTCAGAGTTAGCACAAAGTCTAGACTTGGACCTTCCAGAGTTTTGTTGGTTTTTTGCATCTTGTCCAAAAGATACCTTGTTTTTGTCAGTTATGGTACATATTGCTCAATTTGAGAGTATAGAGGTTAAGGAGAAGGAGGGAGAAACAGAAAAGATGTGGCCATAGCCAGGAGTCGTTCTTGAGTCAGCAGTGAGCTCCAAGAGTAGCTCCTGCAGTCACTTCAAGGCTGTAGCAGGTAAGACTTCATTCAGGCTTCCAGGTGCAGGTTCCCTCCCACTCCTTCCCAGCCTCATGTTTTTTCCTTTAGGTAAGAAGTGTTGCCAGATCAAGAGTTACCTGCAGATAAGTATCTTAGAACATGATTTCCTGCTGCTTGTTAGTACAGTTATTTTGAAAGCATGTCCTTAACTTGATCAGTAACGTGTTGTTCATTTTTACAGGGTTGGGGAGCTGAATATCACCGACAAGATGTGACGAGTACCCCATGCTGGATAGAAATCCACCTTCATGGGCCCCTCCAGTGGCTGGATAAAGTACTTACACAAATGGGTTCTCCCCTTAATCCCATCTCATCTGTTTCATAGTGCTGAAATTCTATCTTCAGCCTTATTTTTAGCGAACTTATTCTAATTCTAGCGAAACTTCCAGTGTGGATACTGTGAGCTATGTGGAGAATGGATCTTACAGTTTAACTTCTCTTTTTTTTTTTAAAGCCCTTTGTGACCAATTCCATTGTGTATAGCTAATCAGTTTTACATTTCAATTTGTTCTTGTGATGCTTAAGTGACAGTTGAGCCCTAAGGGTAACAAAAAAAGTCTATTGAAAAGGTTCAGAACACTTTTCCCCTCCCTCCCCTAGAACTTACAGGCATATGTCTTAACTGGAAAATGCTTTTTGTCCTGGAGGGACAAGAATTATGAAGACTGACTTCAGCAAATAAATACATATCATAGTTTGGGATTTTTTTTACTGTTTGAACATGTGCAGCTCCAGCTTGCAGGCTGTAGTTTTAGCATAGTTGCTTAACATCTTAAGGTTGACATCTGTCATAAACAAAATAAGACTTTATCATGGTTAATTTGCCTCAGATTGAGCAATGTGACTTTTTTTTAAGTGTACACATGGAATATACTTTTTACAAATCTTGGAGTGGTGTAAAAAACACTTATTGTCTATTGGAAAATGCTGTCATAAACACACTTTATATTAATGCAGAATAGCAGTTCTTAGCCTTTTTCCCACTTTAGTGTTGTAATCTCTTTTAACCACCGTTTTCGATAGTAATCGATACAAGGTAAACATCTTGCACGTTTCTGGAGTAATAATCCTTGTTTTGCTTTGATTTACACTCATGCCATTTGGATTTGGTTGCCAAGGCTATTTCTTTTTAGGTACCCTTCTGTATTTTAACATACACACTACTATTTGTAAATGGCAGTGCTTACTACTTTTTGGAAGGAATTAATTTTTTTTTGTTCTCTTTTTGGTGTTCTAGCTGTTTATTTTACCTGTCTGGAATTGATCTGTGTTAGGCCTTTTTAATCTCTCCGTAGACATTATGCAGTATTAGTGATTACACTGTATTTAATTCACTTTCAGTATGAGTTTGAGTCTCTCCGAAGACTGTGAGTGGCTTAGCAAATTAGTAACTGATTGCAGAAGCTTTTACTTCCAGATCATGTGATTTAATACAGACCTGTTGGTAATGACCAAAAGTAATCACTTATTTGTAGCCTACATGAAACAGTGGTCTTGATCCTGTCCCTGATGGCAGGTGTTCAGTCAGAAGACTTGTAGCTTTAGTTGGCAGCTTAATGGGATGGAAGGACTGCATTAATATGATGATGAAATTTTTCTCACACACAATATGATGATGAAATTTCTCTCACACACAATCCTCTTGCCTGTGCTGTTGTATTACTCAGTAGACAATTTATACACTGTACTAAACACTAAAAGAAATCAGTTAAACCACATATGCATATTTTTCCCCTTTAATAAAAAAGGAGGCTGAAAGAAATACTCTATGAGAATTAAAGTGAATTATATATAAACTCTCTTTGCATGCAGAAAAAGTCCCATTGTATTTTTTACCTTCTTGTCCTCCTTTTTCTCTTTCCTGATCACCTCTTCAGAAACGGGTTCAGTGTTTGGGGGAGAGGCTGAAAACTCTAACATGCAAATAGTTATTCACAGATGTGTTGCAGTTAATTACTGCAATCATGAGACATTGATTGCTTACACAAGTTCTGGTGTCTTCTATTGAATGACATGGAAATCATGCATCAGATGGTACCTAAGTAACAAGTGATCTTAAAGAAATGAAACTGTTTACGTGTCATTAAAATGTTTCTTATAAAATGCCTTAAAGAAATAAACTGTAACACGTCTGCAGAACCCTGATGTTCTCTTGTACAGGAATTTCTGTATTTGGTGGTGTATTTTTTATGGGTTTAGTGTTTTTTAAGCAGTTTGTCAAGTGTGTTCAAAACTGAACAACTGAATGGTCAGGAGAAGGGGGAGAACTTGATTTGCTGTTCACCTTTGGTGTTTTCGCTTTCATTCTTTGGAGCTGCAACTCAGAGATGGTTCTTTTGATCAAGTAAGATGTGAAGTCAGTTGGCTACAGGATCAGGCTTTTCTTCTGTCAAGTTGCTGAATATGTATATTTGACGCCACAGGATTTCTTTTTCTTGACTAGCTTTTATAATGTCATGGCACATTGGATTAAGGAAAGATCTCAGTTGTAGGTACAAGGTTTTACTTTATCCAAAATGTTTTTCACTTGGCTTCATCTCTGCTCACTTGTGTGTTTAGATGTGGCCAACGAAATGACTCAAAAATGGATGCTGAAGTGGGTGTTCATGAGCCAGAGCTGCTGCTTAGTGCTAGTATTGTGGTTAGATTGGCTACCCATGCACTGAACCATAATTTCTGCAATAATATCCAGTTAACCCACTTCTGATGCTGTCATTAAGTACTACAGTACTCTGGCATTAGTCTGCTTGTGTACATATTCTTGAACTCTAATACATGCAGTGCTGGGAATATCCTTGGGACTGCTGATTTTGCCAGGGTAGGCTTGCAGGAGCAGACCCAGTAAGACTTGTCTATGTTCTACTTCTCTGTAGGACTTTTTGAGAGCTTTCTAGTTAGCAGATGCATGCTGCTGGTTCCTGGTGTTGCTGATCATGTTTAGGTCAACTGTGCTGCTGGTATAAAATTCCTGTCGGTGCATGGATGGATTGGATGGAGAATTGTTTGGCCCTAACGATGGTTTAAGCATAGTTATACCAGAAAGTGCTGCTTCCATTGCAGCATACTTGTGTGCAAGTCACTTCTTAATCTAGATGGAGGGATGGAGAAACTGAATCAGCCAGTAGTGTGATGGTAGTGGAGGATGGAGCCTTTCCAGTGTAGCCCAGCCTAGACTGATGTTACTCTTCAGTGAAAACTCTTTTGGCTTTTGTAGTGTATTTTCTTCTTTTGGGCATCTTTCTACTTTGTGCCAACCACAGCATTAACTAACAGCTTTGGCAACACCAGCAAAAGCCTAGAATGGGCTTATACTGAAATTCTCCCTGGGTTTGTTTTATAGTCACTAAGACAGTAGCTTGGATATTCCTCCTCAAAGGACTTCAGTCTTGCTGGCAGGCAGTCCAGTGCCTTGCATAAGTTCATTTAATTGCATTAGGCATGAAGTAGTTGTACATGAAGGGATGACAGTGGGTTAGAGGATCTATAGGACCAAAATAAAACTTTCTAGTATGACTGACTGGTCAGAGACAAATCTAACAGAAGAATCCATTAGTCAAGAGTGATGAACCAGCCCATGTGTTATCATTTGGTATAGAAGCTATTGAAGCTATGATTAGTTTTTCCTCTCCCCACAATACTATAGTGTGAAAGTTCTCAATTCTTGGGCAGATTCTCTTGCAGTGTAAGTCTAGAGAACATAAAAATGCGTTGGGCTTTCTCCCTCCTTTAAAACACAAACTTTTCTTAAGGTTATTGTTTTAGTTGCCCTAAAGTGTTGCTGGTGATGGGTTTTAGGACAAAAACACCAACCCAAATGTTTTACTTCAAAATACAAACGTGTGACTAAGTTTTTATAGTTGTGGTTTAGGAAGGTGTCCCATTCTGAATTCAAATCAATAGACCAAACCATCAGATTACAACATAATGTTGCTTTATTGTGCTGCTCCGTAAGTCTGCTTCTGTGTTTGTTGCAAGCATAACCTTTATGCTTTTTGTTTACATTGTAGGAAACACAGTTCTAGCCATGAGTTGTTTTTTCATTTAACTCTAAACATCTTTTTATTTTGTTAATTTTAAATGATTAGGTTTTGCTATGTTACGTTTTTAAAGATTTTTTTTTGCATACTGCTGCTCGTATTTCAATAAACAAAACAAAAAAAACAACCCACAGATTTTCCTCATTTCCTGTCTCTGTAACTCAGTATGTCTGAAATACTTGTTTCCAAGGGCTGATTTATGACTTCTTGTAGCTCGCTGCTGGTGGCTTACCATCTTCTCCTTGTACAGATGTGAGCTTGTATCTTAAAAATACTTTTCTACAGGGTTTTGGTAATGCAAAGCTGCATCCAAAAGTGTACCAGCAAGAGATTTTATAGGGGGTGGTTGGGGTTTTGTTTGGGTGTTTTTTACCCTTGTGGCTGACCTTAACGTTTTTAAACAGTCATCATCGTGTCTGCATGAGTAGAGCTTTAAACTGATGGCCTCTAACCTGATAGCCTTGTCATTGAAATGAAGGTCTTTGAATGTCCTCCCACTCTTCCAGTAAAATGGGAATTCGGGAGAAGTTTCTTTGCTGTTCTTTTACTCTCTTTAACTTTAGTTTTTAAGATCGAGGCATAGAAAACTCTTCTTTTGTTTGCCAAGATACTATAGAAATACAGGTTGAAATAGCAATTGGTAGAGTGCATAAATTAAAAGAAATCTTTCTTTTTTTGGGTAGGATGAGTACGAAAATAGTGAATCCCAATCCCATAGGGATACCCATTTAAGAAGTAGATAATGTCTTAGAAAGACCCTTCCAATTCCAAGCATTCTGTGAATGCTACAGAAAGGACAAGTTATTTCCTTAGTATAATATTGAAACAAAAGTGTTCCTAGTGCTTCATCGTGTGAGTGTTGCTTGCTTTGGGCTTTAACTTGGGACAGCAGGCTGTCACAGTGCAGTGTCACTGAAGTTCTCTCATCTCTACAATAATAGGGGTGTTTTCCTCTGAATGTGCAACTGCACTATACTAAGGAGGATCCAGTCACTCAGGTAGTAATTTTTATTATATATATATATATCCTGATACTATTCTGATGGTTTTACTCCCAAAATGATTGCTATTTAAAGCTCCCAGATTTACTGTGGCAGTACTACCTATATGATACAGTTTAACTTGTGAGTAACGTCCAAATGAAGCGTTGCAGTAGCTTTTTGACTTTCCAGAAACTTCATGTGGAACTATTAATAGCTTTCTAGGTAAGTAAAAAAACAAATGAAATCCTTTATAGGTCGAAGAGGTTTTGTTAACCTTTCTCTCTGGGAATTCAGATGTGTAATAACAATTGGTACATACATCTCTCTGAGTAGCCTGTCAAAGTGACCTGTGAGTTGTTCATTTATGGGTTTTTTTCAGACAGGGAAATAAAAGGTTTGGTCAAAACCTTTTCACCCCAATCCAACCCTCATTGTGTGTGCAATGAGTCAGAGGCTACTTCTACTCACTGCTAGGTAAAAAGCAAATATCTCACTGGCATTTAAAGTGCCCCGTGCCAAGAGAAATCTGCCTTTTTTTGTCCCAGAGTGCTCCCTGCCCAGTTGTAGGCAAGGACCGTGCCTTCTCTGGCACCATCACAAGAAATCCTACTCATCTAGATGAACTGTTTCATAGAAAATCCTTAGGAAGACTTGGAAGTTACTTTTGCTGTAGAT